TTCTTTATTATTTATCATTTCTTCTTTATTGTCTATTATCATTGCTTTATTTCCATTTATCATTTCTTCTTTCTTTTCTATTTCTTCTTTCTTTCCTTTTAGTATTTCTTCTTTCTTTTCTATTTCTTCTTTGTTGTCTATGACTTTCTCGTTGGGTGGAATTGTTTGATGAGAAAGGTTGTTGGGTATTGTGTTTGATTTGTCAATGATTTCCGAGAGTGGTTGTTGAGTTGTTGTGAGGGGTTGAATCATTACTTGTTCTTTTCCAACGACTTCTGGTGCTTCATCATCAAGACAGAGCTCGACATCACTCCATTCTTGCATTGCCTCGTCTTGGGTCAGTGGATTGGAATTGTCTTGCATCGGTGGATTGGAATTAACTCCGAATTTTTAGGGTTTAGACTATCAATAGTTGATGGGTCGCTTCAAGCTCTACAAGAAATTCCTTGGGTTTTATAAAGTTTATTGTGGACTAAAAGAACCATTGAGAATCTTAGCTGATGAACAATTTCTTCAAGAGACAAATAGACGATGTTTATCTCTTCCAAATCTTCTTCTTAAAATCTTCAACTGCAAATCCACTGTTTGTATTACAAATTGTATAAAAAATAATCTTCCATCCACTTTTGTTTATCCACCTCATATTGATATTGAGTGTAAACATCTTTCTCCATGTACTACTAATCTTGTTTGTGATTTGTTTTTATTTTCATTCAAACATAACTTATAAAATAATCTCTTAGTGCTTTAATTCTCTTTTAGAACCATTTAAGGGAAAATTAGGAACAAAAGTGCCTTATAATTATGTGATTGCAACAATGGACCAAAATCTTATTGAACAATATCGTCATACTCGTTTTCCTGTCATAACATACGACAAACAAATTCTCAAGTTATGCTCTCCTTCTCCTTCTCTTAAACGTATTTATAAAGTAACACTTTCAAAAGCAAAAGAATTAACTCATGAAGAAAAAATTTTAGCTAAAAAAGCTGAAGATGAATTTCATGCTTTAATGAATGAAGAAAATAAACAAATGATTGGAATGCAAACTCATCTTAACAGTTTAATTAAATCAAAAAAACCTAAAGGTCCAAATCCACTTTCAATCTTAAAGAAGTCTCTCTACAAACCTCAATCTACTTCTCTTCTTTCTAATTTAAATAGAAAAGTTCGTCGTGGAAGTCGTGGAAATCAAAAAGCAAAAAAGATTAGAAGATTTAAACTTAAATCTCTTTTAATTGCTTCTTCTTTGAATGAGACTTCTTCTTCTCTTTAATTTTATATTCTTCTTGTTTATTTTGTATTTACTTTCTTCTATTTCTTTTTCATTCTTATTCTCTTTTTATTCTATTTATTCTTTATCTTCTTCTTTTTTATGACTTTCACTTCTTTTTATTCTGATTATCTTTTATACATTCTTATTCTTATTCTTTTCTCTATTTCTATTCTTCACTTTGATTATTATATTCTTTATTTTTCTTGTTTCTTTCTCTGCTCATTTCATTCATCTTTATTCTTTTAAGACTTTTTCAATATTATCTTTCTCAATTAAATCATTAGATAATTCATGAATTATTTGTTTATTGCTTTAATTCCTTCATTTCTTCATTTTTACTTGTTATGCTTTATTAATGAATGAATGAATAATCAATCCTTTATAAACAAAAAAATATTAAGTTAATATTTATGTTTATGTTTATTTGAATGATTGAAATGTCTTGAATTATCATTTTATTATTGTTATTATTGTATTTTATGAATATTTTTCAAAAAAGAATGTTATTTTATTCTTCATCTTTCATTTTTTATTATTCTTTCATTTTTATAGGATTAATGTGAATTTAATATTTTATATATTAATTTAATTATTTCTTTGTCATTTATCTAAATTCCCTTCAATTCGTGCTTTCATCATTTTCATTCTTCTTTTCATTTCTTCAATTTCTCCACTTAAATATTCAATATCACTTGCATTGCGTTCAAACACACTCTTAATCACTATTTCGTTATTCTTATCTTTCTTCTTTTCTTGTATTAACAAACTTTCTAATTCATTATTAATTTCCTTTTGTGCACAACTTCCATATGTTTTGTCTATCCCTTCTATCATCTTTTCTACTTCTTTCTTACTTTTTCGATATTTCTCAACAAGAATTGGCTGACTATATAATTCTTCCCTTCCTACTTGATGTTCAATCATTTCTCGTGTCTTTTCCCCTTCTTCTTTTAACTCTTCAATCTTTCTTTTCGTATTAACCCATTCCCCTTCTACATTCCGTGTTTCTTTAATCACTTCTTCTATCTCTTTCTCTACTTCATCCGTACTTCTTAACTCTATCTTCTCTCGATAATACCCTTCCATGCTTTTCTTCTCTATAAATCTTTTGATCGTTTCTAAGTCTTCTCTACTAAAACTTCCAACAATCATCCTCCCATTCACTTCTTTTTTATTTCCGTCTTTATTCTCTTCTTTTCCTTTATTTCCTATACTACTTATTTGACTGAATGGATTTGTATTTGTTTGATTGAATG